ATAGCAGGTATTTTCTGTTAGATAAGAATCTCTAACGATCAGTCAACCAAACCAACATCTGCCCTGAGTCATGCTCAGAGTTATTTGTGTGATTTTTAAAATAGTTGATAGTACTGCTGTATGTTGATCACATGTACAGCTTTAATTTAATAGATTTTCCAAAACTATTTCAAACTAACATCCCTCTCCACTTATCTCTCTCTCTCCCCACTCCAGTGCCTGATATTCCTGGATGATCCGCAGGCTGTGAGTGATATCCTGGAGAAGCTGGTGAAGGAGGACAACCTGCTAATGGCCTACCAGATCTGTTTTGACCTCTATGAGAGTGCCAGCCAGCAGTTTCTGTCCTCTGTCATTCAGAACCTGCGTACCGTTGGGACACCTATTCCTGCAGTCCCTGGTTCCACAAATACAGGCACTGTGCCCACGCCAGACAAAGAGAGGTAGGCAGGGACAAAGAGTGACTAATTCTGAAGCACTTTGTCTTGGTTCATGTTTATAGGTCTTGGGCTTTTTCAGAGATAGTGGCTCTGATTTAAGGCATTTCTCTGCAGAAGAGTTCTTTTAAAATGCTGTATGGTGGGAAAACCTTTTGACCCTTTGTCAGTGAGAATAAAGCCCACTAAGTTTCTGGTGGGCATCTTAAAGCTTCTGAAATGAACCAAACTAAAGTAAAGAAATACAAAAGATTGAGTTTGAATTGAGTCTAACACACACACGTCTTACAGACTGAAACTTGTTGTCTCTTGTATGTTTTATAGTGATGCAATGGAGACCGATGACAAAGCTGGCAGCTCACCTGCTGGAAAGCCTGCAGAAACGGTTAGCAGTTTGGATTTTTGGGGGTTTTAACTGCAGTATATCTTTAATAACTGGAGCCTGCACAACAAAGCATGTTCACCATAATCAGTACAGCTTAGTCATGTGATCTAGGCTAACAGTCACGCTAAGCAGTTTGTATACATGCACATAAAACTGGTTGTGTTGGCATCAGCTGGAAAAGTCTAGAGCCACACGGTTCTCACAGGAATAACAAAAAGTAATCCTGAAACATGATGAGGAATTCTAAAATATACTGCGAGTTAAAAGGAGTTTATTAGAGTCAGAATCGTGTTTGCCAAGTATATATATAGCAGTGTAGTCTAGTTAAGCATTCAAAGTCGAGAAGAAAAGTTCAAAGAAAAAATGCAGATTGCACATCATTAGTACTACCTTACTAAATATCAATACTAACTCAGTGTGGCCTTTAGCTGCAGTCTTGATAGTGTTATTGAATGCTGGGAGGGAGGAATGAATATAAAACTTCAAGTTAAAGTTGAAAGTAGAAAGAAGAAAATCAACTGGACAGTAGTTTTGGGGGGGGTTTTGGGGGGAGGGGGGTTAAATAAATACACTCTGATTTGCTGCCTTTAATATATCCTGTCACATTGTCCTTCTGTCTTTTTACAGAAAGATGAGTCCAAAGACCAGAATGCAAAGATGATCAAGATCCTGAGTGGGGAGATGGCCATTGAGCTTCACCTACAATTCTTAATCCGAAATAACAATACAGATCTAATGATTCTGAAAAACACAAAGGTAACGTTCGCTGCCAGTGTAATGTGCAGTTTTGAAAAAGATTGTTTACAACCAGATGAACTGCATTTTGCTTGAGGTCACTTAATGTGCCGTAGCGACCACTTCCTGAAACTCCCTGATTTTTGTGCCTCCTTTTACTCCAGGACGCGGTTCGAAATTCAGTGTGCCACACAGCTACGGTTATAGCCAACTCCTTCATGCACACAGGAACCACAAGTGACCAGTTCCTCAGGTAACTGTGCTGGGAGGATGATAAAACACTGAAAAGATTACAGAGGGATATTGATAAACGTGTTGTTTTCGAGTGACTATAACCCCAGTGTTTTTTGTTCTTGTAGAGAAAACTTAGAATGGCTGGCAAGAGCAACAAACTGGGCAAAATTCACAGCGACAGCAAGTCTGGGTGTCATCCACAAGGTAGAGTTCTGGCACAGTGATGGTAATACTAAGAAAACCAGACAGGATTTTGTTCTAATGTTATGCTTTTCTAATCTTACTGCCTGCTCAGAATGTTTTAGACAAAGATTAAAATGTTTCTAATGTTCAAAATGTTGAAAATGCTTTCTTTCAGGGTCATGAAAAAGAGGCGCTCCAGTTAATGGCCACCTACTTGCCCAAAGATACCTCCCCTGGCTCTGCCTACCAGGAAGGAGGCGGGCTGTATGCCCTGGGCCTCATTCATGCCAACCATGGCGGGGACATCATTGACTACCTGCTCAGTCAACTCAAGAACGCCAGCAATGATGTGAGTTTTTAGGTTTGGTTTCATGCTTGGTTGTCAGATAAATGTTACACTTGTGCCCCAGCTAAAGCTTTTTAGAGAGCAGGAGCTAGTTTAAGTCTCTGTGTCAGTTTTATGCTCTCACTGATGGTGTGCTTTCTGTTCCACGGTCACAGATTGTCCGTCATGGCGGTGCTCTTGGCCTGGGCTTGGCTGCATTGGGCACGGCTAGGCAGGATGTCTACGATCTGCTCAAGTCGAACCTCTACCAGGATGATGCTGTCACTGGTACGTAGGCCCCGTCAGTGAAGGGGCTTTTTGAATTTTAAAGCCCCAGTTTGCTTTTTACTGTTCTGCTTACTAATAATAATGTTTCTACAAATATGACAAAGAAAGATTTGGTTTTTTATTTTTGTTTGTTTTGAGCATCTTTGCTACGTCCCTTATTAGACTAGAACTTTCAGACATTTTAAATATGTGTTTTGTTATGTTTTTTAATTGTATGTGGACCAAAAAAAAGCAGGTTTTTTGTTTGTTTGTTTTTAATCCTGTGTGATGTGTTATGGAATTTTAATTAACAAAGCCTACAGACACAGTGAGCAGTAGGCCAACAACTTTTAATAATAAACACAAGCATGCTTGGAGAGAGCCGCCATCATGGGGCACTGACAGCAGTCTCTCTACCGATGAACAGCACAGCCCTGGTTTAAATACAGTCAGACAAAAGTACTTTCACAGCTGTTAACCCTCTCCAGAATGTGGGAGATTTTTTATAACCTTATCTCTTCTTACCGTGATTGCCCCTTGTCTCTTCCCCCATCCTCAAAAACACAGAACAAAAGGCTTCACACCTGTGGAATTTCCCCCGCTTTGTCACCCCCTTTCTCAGAGGCCTTGCTGTGTGTGTGCAATAAAGTTAGAGCTGAATGCTCTTCCACATGTTTATTGTTTATTTTTTTCTGCTTCTGCGACCTCCCAGGTGAAGCTGCAGGGTTGGCTCTTGGTCTCGTCATGCTGGGCTCCAAGTCGGCTCAGGCGATCGAGGACATGGTGGGCTACGCTCAGGAGACGCAGCACGAGAAGATCTTGCGTGGCCTGGCAGTAGGAATTGCCATGGTCATGTATGGACGTATGGAGGAGGCTGATGCCCTCATTGAAAGCCTCTGTAGAGACAAGGTATGACTAAAAAACACTCAAAAATCAAATTATGTACACCATCAGGTTGAAACTTCTGTCAAAAAAAGTGACAATTGTCTTTGCCATAGGGTCAACTTACCAATATCTAGAAAATAATAGAAGTTTGATTCTTTAATGGAAAGAATCTCAGTCTGCTTCATAAAGGTCACTACTCTCCGTAAAGCTCACAATTCACTGTGCCGATATTTGATGTATCAAATCCCGTCTGCACTTACTGAACCTCAGGTTGTGTGTATTTCCCATCACATGTGAGACTCTTCCTCTGTACTTTGTGCCAAGATCTAGATGTGGGAAATTACTCAAATTATGTTGATCTTAGTTGTGTATCCAGACACAGTCTTAAAGCTCTGCTTTCTTTCACTGTCTACGGTAGGACCCCATCCTGCGGCGCTCTGGTATGTACACTGTGGCAATGGCATACTGTGGCTCTGGGAACAACAAGGCCATCCGACGCCTGCTACATGTCGCTGTGAGTGCTTCCTTTTTTCCTTCTTTACAACACTGTCACTGAAGGGAGTGCAGGTTTATAATGATGGCACTGAAGCGGATGGAAGATCCACTAATGGCCGGCCTCATAATAGCTGCTAGTCATAATATTGTCAAAAGTATGATTGTTTATTTTCTCCCTTAATCTGTCTTTTTTTTCAAAGCTTTAGTAGCTGCTGTTATTAAACTAGTGCCAGTTATTTAAAGCACTGTATTCTTTCAGGGATGATCTTGCAAAACTCTTTGCTAACAGAAATCACTGCAGAGGTGTGAACCACTTTTGTCCTGCAGGTGGCACTTGGTGCTAACTGAATTTATTAGAGAGCTTAATAGTAGAGCATATTTCTTTTACTCTGAGTAGTAGGGGATGTGCATTTTTAAGATTAAATCAAGTCCCGTTTAATTGACTGCCTTTCTTTTGTCTATTAAGGTGAGTGATGTGAATGATGATGTCAGACGGGCTGCTGTCGAGTCCATTGGCTTCATCTTGTTCAGGTAAGCCAGACCCCATTCTTTAAACTATGAACGCTCTGTTTTGGTTTTTTCCACATGCACCAAAGGCCTTTCTCTTTAAAACCTCAATACTTGTGCCAAAATTCCAGCTTTATGCAAAACACAACCTTTGAACAAAGACATACTTATTTGAGCAGATCAAATCGTGCATCTGGTAAAAGGAGGGTATTCTGAAGGGTTTTCTAAATATCATTGTTATTACAAATGCTGCTTCTTTATATTAATCTTTTGAAGAGTTTAAAAAAGTTATATAATGACAACCAACCAGTGCTCAGTTTGCTGTCCGTCCGTTTATTTTAAACAGTTGCACAGTTATCTTTGTTTGCTGAGGGGAGGTAGAATTAAAGCTCGATGGTTTATGGTTGTTGATTTCAGTGTGTGTCACATCTGCCGCTAACTGGCTGTCTATCTTAAACGCAGCTGGCACACGAACAACAACCTCCACAAAGAGGCACGTGCATTATAGTAGAAACTCAGTGTGATTTTAGATGCTTGTTATATGTAAATTAATAAATAAAAATCATTACCTTAAAAAAAGACTTGCAGAATGCTTACGGCAAAAGAAAATGGCACAACTATAGCCATCCGTATTAAGGTTAATAGCATTAGCTGCCACAGTAACTTTATAAAGCCGATACCTGTGGATACTCTGGTGTCCCCCACAAACTAGAAGGAGAACAGGGAGTTTACCAGTTTTTCCATCATTACAAGCAGCTGATCTCTTGGTTACTTGTGGGAGTTTTATTTAGCTTTACTACAGTTAGCTTGTTTGGGATTTTAACTTGTGAAGTGAAGTGTTGTTGGTTGATTGGCTAACACAAACAAGTTAATGTAGCAGCTGGCAAATGAATGAAACCAGTGAATGTCATTTCCATGCAGATGTCCTGGAGCTTAGTTGGCTTTGACCAGTCAGGTTCTTGTTATTCACTACGTCACTACTGACACAGAAACAGTTTGGTTTTCTTTCTTTTTTGCTTCAGTTTTCCTGGCTGACCTTGTGTTTTTTATATTTTGTGTAATGAGTTGTCAAAATTTAGTTTAGTAGTAGTTACTGGTCTTCATGAATGATGTTCCTCTGTCAGACAATGACACCACTGAGGTCCTTATCACTTTAACTGTCTTCTCCAGTTATTTACAGGCATTTATCCCACTAACATCAGTGTTTACCCACCATAGAGCAGGGCTCGTGCTAAACAGACTGCCTGGCCACTTCACAAACATCAGGGTGTGCATTTTTAAGCCCAAAAAGGCCATGTGATATCCTGTGATCAATCGGCCGCTACATAAACCTTGTGTAAATTTTCTCTGTGTTTAGAAAGACTTGTGAACCAGAGCTATTTAGTTTGCCTGCTCTTCTCTGATTTCCCACCCTAATGCCTTAAGAATAACTGCATGCACTCCGCCTCACAAGAAGAGCCAGGTTTGAATGCCTTACGTTTCAGCTTTTTCATACTAAATCAGCAGAGTTCCAGTTTGTTTGTTTGTTTGTCTTTTGTTTAACAGTGACACAGTCTATACAGGAATATAACTAATTAGGATTTTAGTTTAGTTGAATGTTTTCCTGGATATTTTTAAACAGAGAAATCAGGAATTGCTCCTTAAATATGCTGTCGTTACAGTATTCGTATTTTTCTTTTTCAGTGTAAATAGCAGTGTTTTTATTGCCAAACTCTGTTATCTGCTTTGGTGTTTATGATTTGGGGAAAAGTGAATAGCCTTTTTTGTTTTGTTTTGTTTGTCTTACTGTGGCTGTTATGCTGTGTTTTGTTTTGCCCAGCCCTTATTTATGATAGAGGCCATTTTTTCTGATCACATTACAGTAACATATGAATGTGGAGATCAACAGCATAACACACAGATGGTTAGAATTTGGCCTTTTTATCAGGAACACAAGAAATATTTTATTAAACACATGTAGATTTCCATTTAAAGTGAACATTTTCTATGTACAGTCTTTTTAAGTGGACATCTTTTTAACATGTCAAAACAGCAGGCTGCGATCCACGTACGAGAGTGCTTTTCAAAGGTCCAGCAAATACATTAAGTATCGTTTCAAGAGTGCAAGGCGTTTATGTCTGTCTGTGTTGTCTTGACAAAATATAAGCATGTAGATGGTTTACAGCATATTTAGACAGCAAAAGTTGAAAGCATCAGAATAGGAAATGTACTGTATGCTGCATTCAGGGAGTTTCCAGGTCATCATGATGTCCTGAACTTTGTGGATGTAGTGTTCATAGTTGAAAATAGATCCTTGTGTAACTGATGTAAACAAACATTAGCGATCACTTACTAGTTTCTAAGTGAGGTCACCACCTTGAACCCTGGAGGGCAAAACAAGCTTTCCTTAGACTTCATGTGCTTTACTTTCACCAGAGTTATTAAACCAAAATGCCAGCTAATGTTCACAAGCCGCTCAGTTGTTTACAGCTGCTGGGCAAGTAAAGATAATGGCACTAAATGCTAACACACCTCTCCTGAGGCTGCCGTACAAAAACAGCTGCCAAATCCCACCAAAGGCTAAATTATATTACATTATTATAAGCTTAACAGATGAGTTTCACCTTCCAAACGTGGCATTAGCAACCCATCTCAATCAAAAATAGATAGACCTGCACCTACTGTTGTTTTTGTTTTGGGGTTTTTTGTGCTGGTGGCAGTGTAAGTGCACTGGAGGGATATTGTTACATATTGCAAATATTGTCAAATGGACTGCAGCTTGTGCAATGTACACTTTACAAGTATGGAAAAACATGCAGTATTTTAAATATCAGTGTTTTTGAAAGTTGATCTGGACATTTGCAGCTTGTAACATATTAAAAACGAGTTCTCTGGTGCTCTGATGCTCTGAGTTAGCCAGCATTTTGGTGTTTTGCCCTCTAGGTGTGCGCTACAAAAGATTACGAACAGTTTGGGGTTTGTTGTCTTGCCATTAAATGTATCCAATTGACAGAAACATCTGTTCGTGACAAGCCTTTGTCTTGAAAGAACTAAAATTTGCAACATAAATTTTATCCACTTTAAGTACCCTCCCCACCCCACCCCTGATTTATATTCATTTGCTTTGCGTGTCCATAGTCTATACACAGCTAACATGTTCCTCCTGCTTATCATCTTCATTTTCAGTCAGAAGTATTGTGTCTAGCACAACACCACTAGATGACTGTACAGGAGGTTGCCGACACCTCAGCGGACTTTGGTAGGCCACAGCTCCAATGCCGTTCTTCATTCCCCGTTTCATGAATAGCTTAGAGTTCTCTGCCATGGAAGATTTGATTGAAATCCTTGTTAGAGTCCACTCTGCAGTTGATGGCCTCAGATGTCCTCCTGACAGGTTACTGGCACAGCTCCTGTAATTACAGGTGATGTAACGTGTGAACGCCTGCCTGAAAGTTTTGTTGAATAGGGTGTAGACCAGCGGGTTAATACCTGATGACACGTAACCCACCCAAACAAAGATCTCCATGAGCCGGGCAATGACGTTGGGATCACACCCATTGCATAGCACTGAGGTGATATTTGTAATAAAGAAAGGGCACCACATGACTACAAACAGGAGGAAGACTATGCCCAGTACCTTGGATGCACGCTGCTCGTTGCTCAGAGTCTGCATGGACTTCTTGCCCATAGTTGACATCCTGCGAAAGGACTGTTCGTATGGCGTGTGAGCGATCGTGGTGCCTGCATTTGGCTTTTCCTGCGTCCGGGGAAGTCTGCTGTCCAGCACATTCATTTGCTCGGCTTCAGTTGAAGCCATAGACTGCTCCCTTTGAAAAACTGTGGACACCGCCGGAGAGCTAAAACGCTGAGTGACCTTTGACCTGAGCAAATAAACCTTTTTGCGCAACACATGGACAGTAAGTAGATAGATGACCATCATGATAGTCAAAGGGATGAAGAATGCTGATAAAGAGCCAAATATGATAAAATCCCAGAAGGTGGTTGGTTTCAGCAGGCACGTGTGGTTGCTGTTGAAGGTGATGTTGTTGGGAAGGTGGTAGTTCTTAAGGCCCCTAATAGGAATTGGAATTGCAATACCTAGAAAAACGACAACAACATTAAATACTGGGAAACACTGGTTATTACCACACTCATTGGATGAACAGCTTACTGGCTTGCATTTGTTTTTGTTTTTTTCTGCAAATGCAGTCATTTTTCATTTGAGAGAAAGAGCTGCTTTTACTGAAATGTGTCTCCAATAACAAGGCATGACTGATTGCAGCATCTTTGTGTTTACAAAATCTAGTAAACTAATCATTCCTGGCAAGTCGTCACCCCCCTCAAAATAAGCCATGGTGTACAGTAAGCTTTAAAAGTTTAAATAAAGCCACACCTGACAGCCAAAGTGAATGTTCCCTTAGTGGTGTGAGTACTGAGCTGTACTGTGCTGTAAAGGTGTTTTCATGTATTTAACGTAAGTTTTTGAGATGCAGCTGATTTTACCTTTTATTTTAAAACTTGGATGTGATTTAAAGTCACAGTGGACTTTAAATCACATCAGTGCTGTTTATATATATGTTGCTGTTTTATGTCATCTGGCATGCATTTCTGAGTGTAAACCAGGTCTTGTTGGGGCTTTTATGTTTTGAGTTTTGACTTTAAAGACTGCTGTAGAGCTGAAGGCTGAACTGACAAACTTACAAATGGATATGAGCCACACCAGTGCGATCTTGACCAGCGCTTTTGCTCTGGATTTGTACTGGCTGTGTTGAATCGGCTTCTTGATGGCAATGTAGCGATCCAGTGAAATGGCACAAAGGTGCATGATGGATGCAGTAGAAAAAAGCACATCAAGGAAGAGCCAGATGGGGCAGAGAAACTCAGGAAGAGGCCATCCAGAGTCTAAAGAGAAGATGAGATGGAAATTAGAGTTGGCAGATAGTTTAATATACTTGTGGTGTAACTCGTTTTCTTGCCAAAAAGAATGCGGTCATACTCTCTGCCCGTTAGGGTAGATATCAGACAATGGCAACGGGTTTGAAGTAGCACTCGTGCAAATGATTGCTGTTTGTTTATCTGTGAGGAATCACTTTACTGGAAAAAGGAGGGTTCGCCGAGTGTTTATGGAGCTCGGCGCTCTTTATGTAGATGTGGCAGAGACTGCGCTCAACAGTAGTGTTTATTTTGAGTTCTGGGTATAAAACTGGCAAGTAGTTGTTCTGGCTTTTGTCTCGTCATCCATTAACATAGTAAAAGACAGTTGTTGGAATTTTCCTGTGTTATGCCCGTCTCCTCCGCCTCCTTACTGCGCTGCTTTCTCGTACTCTGTTTTGATTAAGTTTGACGTGGAAGCTTTTCTCCCCCCAAATGACAAATGATTGACACTTTTGGAAAGTGTTTATTTGTTATATTAGTTTTACAATGTTACTAAAGCAATCCTGCCCTTGTAAGCTTATTTTTTTTTATAGTTTTTTGTTTTATGGTTGCCTTTGAAAACATCCTAGTTCCACCACGTGGCAGCCCATTAAAAACTTGGAGCATAAAGCAGAGCTCTCCTGTAGTTCCTAGTTATACAAGGCTCGTGTCAGCACCTCAAAGTCATTTGCAATGTTTTTTCTTTTCTTTTTTTGGTTTATAAGGATTACAAAACTGCTATTTGAACAGATGTGGGTGTCTAAGAGTCAACAGTGCAGGACTTTTATTAAAAAAATATGGGGATGAAGTGTTATTACTTAAAAAAGGATAAGAATAATTTGCATTTCTGGCAAGTATAAGAAAGAATGTGTTTATAGCACATTGCACAGTAGAAACAGCTACAATATCCACATCTCTTTAAAAAAAACAACAACATATAGAATAGAGGTGTTCAGAAAATCTAATGTATTAAATTACCACATTATTGGTTAGTAGAGAGCTGGCTTCTCACTTAGGCTTTTCTTTTTTCTTTTTTGGCTACAAGTTGGTTTATTTTAAGTTTACAAGAGTTTCTGTTCACATAGCTCATATTTTAAACAAGAGGACCTCTTACATTTTCCAGGTGTCTGTATACTTCTGCTCAGCAGATGTGGAAGAGTGGCTGAATACTAGAAACATTTTCTGGAAGGGTGTGTTGCATCATCTTTTCTTTAAAACCTATATATTTTAATTCAAAGTAAAGTAGGTTTCTCTGCCAGCTGCAGCCAGCTCTACCTGCCCTACTACTTTACTCCATGAGCAAGTCTGAACGGATGATCAAAGATAAAAGGAGGTTATAGCTGTTCAACTGGAGACACTTTGGTTAATAGAGAAATCAATTTTGTTTTATATGTGATTGGATCGCTAAAGGTAAAGGCCTAATAATTCTAGTGACATTGTATAGAGCTGAAAAGAAAAAGAAATGTAACTAACTAACGAACTTCAAAGGACTAGCTGTTAGCCTCTCTGCACCTTCCTCACCTGTTATTAGATTATAAGAAGGGGGATAAAGGTTAAAAAGATAAATTGGACTTCAACCACCTTCATCATTTGCACACGGCTACAAAGCAAACACCTCTGGACACCGGACCAGCACATCTCTAGCCTTAATTAACAATGATAACAGTCTTAATTTACACAACACACGCACAGCTTTATTAGTCTGTCAGCTTACGTGTGTTTTTATTGTTTCTGATTATTTCAAGCCCAGCACAGCTCATCGGCCCCACCTTACAGTTGTATCACTGATTTCACTGAAATATTTAGTTTAGTTGTGTTGACATTTATGGTATTAGTGTACCAATGTACTATAACCTTGTCTATGTGACTTTGTTTATTTCGCTAAAGGTTGTTGGCACAGCATGACTGTCCGCACCGTCGTTAGCTATCCTTCACACTAACACACTGTTTCTGTCTGTGTCCTCATGACCTCTTCCAGTTCACCTCAGCGCTTCATCTCTCTCTAAATAGGAGAGGATGACAGCTGCCTGGGTCTTAAAATATATTTCACAAAAGCAGAGCATATTTTAGGAGTCTGTTTTTTGTTTTTGTAGACCTTTGTAACCTTTTAGCAGATAGAAATACTGCTGGAAAAATTAAAGAAATACATTTTAATCACGGTTGGTGTTTTCTCTCAGTTACGTGACTGGACTAGTTCTTAGGACTAAATATTTTCGGCCTAGATAAATTGCTTTAGAGGTTGCCGTATTGAAGTGATGGTTTGAACAAAGAAAAAAGAAATCAATACCCTTTCAGTTTCTTTTATGTTTCAAAGCCAGCTGCTTTTAGCTCAATACCCAGGTTTTTCATGGATCAGAATGGGCCTTTCGGTGTCTACTGAAGCGCGCATACAAAAATGAATGATATGAAAGGACAAAATCTGCACAGGCTTGTTGAACAGAAATCTGTGAGTTTTGTTGTTATATGTGGCTGTTTGATAAATTAAACTGTTTATTATGCTTGATGATGAACCCAAAATAAGTGTGGTATAAAATACTAATTTTACTGATGATTTCTCCTTTGGCTGTGACTAAAACTTCTTTGGAGGGTTTACTGGGTGAATTTTGGGCTCAGTGTGCTCAATTATAGCAATGTGAAAGGGGATTAAGCTTCCTGGTAGACTGATGAACAGGCTTTATGTTTCTAATGTGGAGAGTGATGTAAAACCCTTATAGCTGGTATCCTTTTCAATCCAGCGATCCAGTCAGAATTTAAATAGCATGTTTCCAGACACAGATTTGTTACAGAAATAGATGCAATGGCAGATTAATTGTAAAGCCCTTCTTTAATTAGATTCTGCATTAAGGTAAGCGCTTAAGCAGCATCTCTGAGCAGTCTTACTTGTGCAGCTTTCAGTGTGACACATCCACATCTGCGCTCTTGTGTGTTAGGCATAATTATAATCCAGCTCATTATCTTTCAATTGAACTAATGGAGAATAATGCGTAGCTTTGCCATAGCTCTGTATTTTGATGATACAAGTCTAAATCAGTTCCTGTGCAGCTGTATTTGCACAACACTATTAATGGAATTAATGGAAAAATGGCTTTCCATTGGTAATAGTCCCAGAGGCAAGTCGTTCAGTCCAAGCTGTGGATCTGGCACCAAACCTTTGCCAGAGAAAGTAGACTGTTCACCGTCCACTATCTCTTGTTCTATTTCATCTAGAATAATTTGTTTAGAGATAGTCTTGATTGGATCTAATACTGCCTCTCAAATTGTTTTTCTCCTCTTCTGTTATCCTCAAGTCTTCTGGTCGTTATGCAGATATTAACGCCTAATGAAGGTTTAATACAAGTTTGCTGTGAATTAGGGGGCATCCTTCATTAAATCACTTCGGTCACGCTTGAACTCACTTTAAAAAATTGTTTTCAAAATTTGTTGGTGGTTTGGACATCAATTTTCAGTGTTCTTCTGGATATTATGACAGATTATGATCTGTCGGGGCGATCGTGGCTCAAGAGTTGGGAGTTCGCCTTGTAATCGGTTCGAGCCCCGGCTTGGACAGTCTCGGTCGTTGTGTCCTTGGGCAAGACACTTCACCCGTTGCCTACTGGTGGTGGTCAGAGGGCCGGTGGCGCCAGTGTCTGTGTGTGTGAATGGGTGACTGGATGTGTAAAGCGCTATACAAATACAGGCCATTTACTATATTAAAGAAAGAAATATAATCATTCCAATGGTGCTTTGTTCAGAGTCACACCTTAGACATGGGTGAGGTACTGTTGGCAGTTGTTTGCTGGGGGAGCGTCTGGAGTTTAAATACTCTTTATTTTGTAAGCATAATAAAAAAATATTATTATTATTATTATTTTTTTAAATAAATGTAAACGACCTTTTAAAAGGGAAAAAATAAGAAATGTTATGCTTGGGTTTCTAGGATTTTTACCTGTGCAGCTTTAATGCTACCCATATAATGTAAAAAAGCATATGCAGTATATGTGCAATGAAGCTGTCAAAGCCAAAGCTCCGTGCTAAACTTACTGTAGAGAACAGTGACCAATGCAATGGGCATCACTAGGAGTCCCACCAGCAGATCGGCTACAGCAAGTGACATTAGAAAGTAGTTGGTAGCATTCTGCAGCTTTTTCTCCAGCGACACAGCGAGAATGACCAGGATGTTTCCTCCGATCGTGGGGATGATGACCATGACAATGAGCAAGGCAGCCCATTTCAGCTGAAGCTCAGACACTTTGCCTGCGTGTGAGCTGTTAGCCTCGAGCTGTGCCATGGCTGGCTGAGACAGGGTGCTGCTGAGCATACAGCGGGCTTGAGTGTAGGTCGGGGCTCTAATCTTTCTGGTCTGGGAGACTCGGTCAGCATGGTCACTGGGTCCCACAGGCAAGGGCACAGGGTAGGGTGAGACAGTTCAGGGGCGGCACACAAGATCCTGCATCCCGTAAAAGCCAAACGAAGATGATCTTTGTTCTTATAAAATCCAAAGCTGGCAATAATCCCAACACGATTAGTAGCTCCACAGTGCGATGTTCCGCAAGTGAGCAGGGGTCCTCACTTTCCCAGGCAGCTGACACTCTTGACATCCACTTCAAAGAAGAAATAGGTCTGTTAAAGGGGTAGTGATTAGTCATTTTCTTTACCCGAATAATGACAAAATGCAGCAATGGTAAGTAATAAATAGAGCAAAGACAGTCAGATCATGAGTTATGTGAATGCCAAGCTGGGAAAACAAAGTGATGGCTTAAAAGCTTTTCAGATTTCTTCTGTTATACAGTTAAAGGTTAATAAAAGATGCAAGTTGTTTGTACACAGTGTTTCAGCTGATATTTGTTGATTAAAATTAGTAGATGAATGTGTAGGATTTTGAATTTATATACCTTCCAAAGCAGTGGTTTAAATGATGTCGAAACCCATTTTCAAATAAAAAAAAATAAACTAGTATTGTGATAGTTTTGCAAAAGTTTCTTACCTGTTTCCCAAGGTAATGTTAGCTGTCCTTCTCCTTTTGTGTTTTCAGCTCTTTAAGTCTTTTCCCAAACCTTTACGTCTTAACGCTGTTGAACACTAAAACAGTATTCTGAGCTGGGAAAAGAGAGCCGCTTGACACCCCGTGCATTTCACTCTTTGCACACCTTGTAAGGTGGGACAGCTTGGTCTCTTTTAATGTCTCCTATCTCATCTTTAAATTTCTTCCCTTCCCATAGAAGAATGTGACAGAGAACGCCCTCCCTCAGCAGCGAATCCTAAATCTGTCTTAGTCTGAAGCGGTCCGTGATGTGGAATTTATTCGCTTCCACATGTTGGAGGAACTTCCAGTCTCGCCGCGCGTCACCTACCGCGATCACAGGTTTAAAACTTTCAGATGTTGTTGCTCCTCTGCTGCTCACCCGTTCTCACTCGTTGCCTCTCGTCTGCAGCCTGCGATCAGCTCACGCTCGCTCTCTCTCGTCCCCTCCCTCCCCCTTCTGCTTGCAAGTGACTCAGACTCTATACAAAACAGATGAATGTCTTCATGATGGCAACATGCCAGTTGTTCTGGGAGGTAATTTCCTTCAACACCGCCGTCCTACTGTTTATATTTGTCACTTTCTGTTCACTCCTCTGCTCGAAGAAGAGGGGAGGTAGGAGCACTGTATGGGGGGAACCTTTTGTCTAGAGGTACATGCTTGAAAATGTACTTATACTACATAGCTGTTAAAGCCTTTTGTCCTCAGTCAGCTCACATTGAGAAAATCTCAGGAAACCTTTTTTAATAGATGATATAGATTTTAAGAAATTATCCCCTGTTTATGTATATTTTTGTTTTCTCTATAGATTTTTTTTGCTTGTAGTCATGATGTTGCTTTGATTTTTTTGCTTTTAAAAGCAGATTTATTTATTTATTTATTTTTTAAGTGAGAAGTTCAGAGTGTACCCTTGGATATTTTAGATGATGCATGCCCCTTGTTTCTGTCAAGGTGGCAGTACATGCATAAGATAATCTGCTCTCTTTTACTTTGCTTATCCTTTAATGAAGTTTAATCTCTTCAGTCCCAGAAGTTTAAAATTTTTTAAATGCTTAAATCATCACATCAGGTGTAGCACTGTGATTAGAGGCAGCATCTATCTCTCCAACAGCTGCTTTTACCCAAACATGTTTTCAGTATGATAACTAATCTTATTTCTTGGGATCTGCATGTTTGCCAACTTTTAAACTGCTGCAACATTAAAGGAAATAAAAACATTATGTACCATTAGACGTGACACTTTTTTTTTTCTCCCAGTTTAAGCAGTTTAACAAGTTAACAGTCTGCCCTTTGGCAGCTGCTTATCACTTATTATTATAGCAGTATACTCACACGTGTTTGTTTTGTTTACTCTTTGGATGAATTTTGATTACCTTTTAGCGTAAACTATAAAAGCCACATGACCTCTTTTCTAAAATTAACATTGTCCAGGTGTTTTTCGTGATGTATTTTACGACTGCTTCCTGTAACAGACTGGAAGCAACCGAATGTGATCTGCAGTCATACAGCAAGACCACATCAATGACTGCCAGTCACATTTCATGCAGAGAAATTACATGTTTTAAGATTTTTTTTTTCTTTGCTCTACACCTGCAACTTTGACTTTGAGTGGAGTCATAAACTTGGTGCTCGGTTTTTTGTCTCTTTCCTTTGAGTTAATTCTGAGGTTTTTAAGTCCATCACGCATTACCAGGATATTGAACTTGAAGTCGAATTCCAGGCGTCACAGCTTCACAGGCTTTCATGTGAAACAAATGCTGAATATTGATTTCTTCTCTCCATCTCACTTCTTCTATTTTGATGGTGGTTAAAGGTAATCTTTTACTGAAAAAAGCTGAAAAGGCTTCAGATTGAGCTATTCAGATAACCAATCGCCAAAGTTTTCTCAAGGTGTGCTTCAAGCTATTGTGCAGTCAGTTTCAAAAAAGCATCATAAATATTTTTATTTAACCTAAATGCTTATTCTGGGTGAGCCCTTTACAGTTTGGCTCTCACCCAAATGTAGATTGAAGGTCACCGTCCGTCGGTCTACAGGAATAGAAAAAAACCCTCTGGAGGTGACACTGAAATCTGATCCAAATCTCTCAGTGATTGCCACTTGTGATCTCGCTAAATCCTAATATAATGGTCGAGCTGAGCTTTTAATTCCAGACAGACCAGTGCAGATTACTCACTGCGGACATGCCTCCATATTGATGGACAGTTTAAGAGTTTGTGGCTTTTTGTGTGTGTGTGTTAATCTTATTATGACATATTTTTCTGAAGGGGCAACTTATTAATTCCAAGGTGGAGTTTTTCCAGTCTATAGTGTTTTCTACTTCTGTTGAATAGGTTATATATTCTGTCCATTAACGCAACTGTTTTTAATGATGAGTAAAAAGACTGATTCAAACATTTCTTTCTATGCTTTATAGTTGTAAGGCTCATAACGAGGTGATTATAGCTTCAGTTGTTGGACCCAGTGTAGTTCATCCAGTCAGTAGTGAAGTAAGTCATCTTTGTGAAGCTTCCAAGACTGTTTTTACTGAACTTATACCATAATTTTCATATAATTTGTGAACACATTTGTAGAATAATTCGGCATATAGACAAACACAGTTTAAAGCCTTTTTTTTTTTTTTTTTTTAAACGAACTAGAATCCAATAAGCACCACTGTTTCATTCTCCTGCTTTTCTATTTGTTCTGTGGATCATTGAGCTTTTAGTGTTATGTGAGAAACAGGGACCGCCTCTTTATTTCCACTATAGCATTGCTGGGTCAGTTAGTTAAACGTGGCCGTTCTCTGTGATCCTTGAGTCACTGATTGGCATCTGTTTGCAGTTTAAAGCAGACCAACTCTTCATGCAAAACTCTGCGTGATCTCACCAATCAGCCTACCAATTCAAGCCCGGGCAGAGCCGTTGTTATCACAAGGGAATTATCAGATAATGTTCAACATCATGTTTTTGTTTTTTCCCTCCTCTTTTGTGCGTTTGCGTGTGCCCGTGCATATTTTGCTTCAAAGTGATTTTTGTTTAGTTTTTGTTTTTTTTTTAACTAAGAGAATTTTTACTCAGAAAACAATAACGACTGTCACCCGCTGAGCTAAATTTTGATATGATCTTGCAGGTTGTGCCTATATGACTAAAGCGGTGCTGGTAAATATGTGTTTAATTAGCACATTCCTTCACATTTGTAGGAATTTGTAATGTTTTTACCATGTGGTTAATATTGTACAATTTACCCAAACCATTTGGTTAGGATGTCCTGTGTGTGTGTGTGTGTGTGTGTTTGTGTGTTGTGTGTGTGTGTGTGTGTGTGTGTGTGTGTACATCAATTTTTTTTAATCAAAGTGAGAACCAAATGTAAAGATTTGGGGAAGTTTGTGAGAGTTTCTGATTGTTTAATTTTTCTTTGATAAATCACAGCATCCAGAAAGCTGTGATTAGTCCAACAGCAATCTGAACTGATTAATGACATTTGTCTGTGATTAACTTCAAGTGCCTCTTCTTTCTACCCCTTTGTGTCTCCAGGACCCCAGAGCAGTGTCCCAGTGTGGTTTCTCTCTTGTCAGAAAGTTACAACCCTCATGTACGCTGTGGGGCTGCCATGGCTCTGGGCATCTGCTGTGCAGGGACAGGCAACAAGGTCAGTGTCTTTTCCTTCTTCTGCTCCAAAAATCTTTTCTGTCTTGTTTCTGAGCAGCTGCTATCAACACGTACTGCAATACTTCAAAATAAAAAACTGGCAGGAAACATTGGATTTTGCTAGCCGGACTTGCACTAGAATATAGACTAATATGTTATCAACAACATGTTGTTTTTTTTAAAAAGAGGAAAATATCTTACAATGGTGTCGCTGGTTTTCTCTTTACTTGAGGTTAATAGAGGACTTCAACCTTTTAAAAATTGTCCAGTCTTCCAGCTGTGTTTTGTGAACTATGTTGATTTAAGCATACTAGACCTGAACTTTTTCTCTCTTTTAAATATGTCTTTACAAAGCACTTCCTCCTCCTGGAGTTGGTAATCACAGCTAGAATTAATTTTTTTTTTTAAACTATGTGTCAAAGAAAAGCTTACATAGCATTTCCTTTACCACAAACGCAGCATTACACCTGCTGACTTCATTTGTCCCGTGCGGCTTCTTTCTTCTCTTGGCGTAATGTGCATCAGCGATGCAAAGATTATCTATGCTGAATGAACAGTTTCTCTTTAAATTGATAGCTTCCCTGTGGGGCTGGGGTGAGTGAGTACAGACTGACGTCTGTAACCTCTGCAGGAGCATCTACAAGAGGTTGTCTGCTTTCTTATTTCACACAGAATGATGGCATAAGACGAAATGCTAAAATTTATGGCATTGTCAAAAAACTAATTACACCAAGATCATGGGAGAAGACTGCATTTGAACTTCATCTGTTTCAAGAGTGCAGTAATGTCCTGCCACAATTTCCTTACACTGCTTTGTAGATACTCCTATTCAGCACAGAGGGAAAAGGGTTAATTGCAGATGAGTTAGCATGCATTTTGTTTGGCTTCTCCAAAAAGAGGGAGGGAAGAGGACAGAAGACAGGAGTGCTGTCGCTCCCTGAGATGTTGGCTGCTCAGTCTTGGGTGACGCAGCCACAGCAGAATGATAGCATCCTCTTTGCACCCTCTTCCTCACTGAGACTCGAGCGTTAAGGAGAATATTTTGGACCAAGTCAGCCCAGAGGCGTGCTGCAGGAGTGATCGGCTCCGAAGCTCCACCGCTTGGTTTTTCCCTCGAATAAGAACTCGAGTACGTTAGAGGAGTGATGATGTTGTGACCAAAGAACTGGGTCACCTATTTAGAGGATGCACATTTCTTTGCTGTCATTTACAGCTTGGAGTTTGATGATATTTACTGGGCTGCTGCTCCTGATCTGTTTATATACTTGAAGGAGGAGATATGAACTGGAAAGTTGAGGAATGTTTTAACCGAGGCTGTTTGTGATTTTCTTTAAAAAAAAGAAAAAGTTCACTTTGTTTGGTGGACCTGATGGAAACACCGTTCACCAAAAAAATGTGTGGAAATGTAATCTTAACACCAAGCAGACTAACGAGACCTGTCATGTGATACTGTTTTATAAGTGTGTAATAAACTGGAAGTTAGACCGTGCTCTGCGTTGCTCTATTTATTTGCACAAGCCTGCAGACAGTTATTAGCAGAGCTCAAATGAATCTAATTTAAAGACTGAGCCACACTGGAGCTCAAACATGAAGAAAACCCTGGAAATGGATTAACGTGATCTTAAGTAACCAGTCCGCTGCACTTGATTGGATCTGACAGTAAATACTTTTAATTACCCCGCCTCCACCCCACCACTATGTCCTTCCAAGAACATATCACGGGCAGGATGTGGTGGACTAGTGTTGGCTTTCCACTCTTAACATATCATCCTGGTGCACGAGTGTCTCACCCAGCTGAGCTGAAGACATTCA